CCCCCACGTTAGTGTCCAGAGGATTAGCAACAACTATCAGGTGCATGTTCTCTCCAAGGGTGATCTCACTTCCCAGTCAGGGAACCACAATGTTGCAGGAAGATGAGGCCCAACAGAGAGAAAGAGCACCCAAATACCACGTTTATAAGAGAAAGGGCTTTATTCATCAGCCAGAAGCTTATGGCATAGAAGAATTCCAAATGGCTGTGCTCCCCAACTGGCTAGCCTTTTCCTTTTTATTGACAGTCAAAAAGTTCTACCCCACAGGTACGCTTCTCATTGGTCAGTTTGAATCAAGTGGGAGATGCTATTCCAGCCCCTACAGAACTATACAATTTCACAGAACTTGGAAATTTTCAAGTTCTAGGAAGTTAAGTTTACAAATTCCCAAGAGCTGAGTCACCATGGACAGGACACTGCAGGTGTATCTTTGTGGTCTTCTTGAGAAGACCTGTTCTCCTAGACCTCACCTTTCTCAGGTATCCTCTCTCATAGTGAAGGAGAAAAAGTGATAGAGGAACACAAAGGCCTGCAGGGAGACCTCTCTTGGCTTCCAGGCAGTATTATCTTTTTCTATTGGTCATTCATGGTCTCTTTCTATTGTTCATTGGTTACCGAGGTTACTTCGTACCCATATGATGGTCATTTGGAGGAGGAGACATGGTGAGGCATGTTTCTCATGGCTAGCAACTCAGTTTTTAGGGATTCCCTTTGCAAAGGGGAATGGCAGAATACTATTGGATAATATGGAAGTTTTATTAAGCCCTTATACAATACTTTAACAGAGGAAGTTGTGGAAGGAGTAACATGAGATAGGAAACAAGAGAAGGCTTTCCAAACCTTGAAACAGGTTCTTTTAAACGCATCTGCCTTGAATGCAACTAATTTAAAGAAATATTTCTTTCTATATCTTTCACTGGGCCTACAATTATGATCATCTTCTCCTAAATGTTTAGACCCTGCCTGTTCAACTTCATTAAGTTCCTGTTTTCCAGGCTCCAGCAGTTTCACATAAAGATGATGGTGATGCAGGGATTGCAGCAAATACTGGTGAAACCTTTTGAACAAGTGGCCAGAAACTTCAGACTCCCCAAATCCCTTCAGTGTAGGGAAAATGAGGAGGGTCCCTGAAAAGTAGGCCAACGCCCCATTTTGACAGCAGGAAGTAGCTAAGAATGGCTGTCCTCCATTTTCCCATCAAGATTTTAGGACCCCCCCAAAAAAATTTAAAAAAAGATTTTAAGATCATAGCTCCTCAGGGGGGAACTAGACAGACACTAAACAAGGGGCTCCAGGCTCAGCGCCTGTGGCTCAAGTGGCTAAGGCACTAGCCACATACACCTGAGCTGGTGGATTCGAATCCAGTCCTGGCCCACCAAACACTGATGGCTGCAACCAAAAAATAGCAGGGCATCGTGGAGGGCACCTGTAGTCCCAACTACTTGGGAGGTGGAGGCAGGAGAATCACTTGAGCCCAGGAGTTGGAGGTTGCTGTGAGCTGTAATGCCAGGGCACTCCACCCAGGGTGATAGCTTGAGGCTCTGTCTCAGAAAAGAGGGGCAGGTTTCAGGAGGGGTGGGTGGAAACTCTGGGCTGCTGAACCAGGAAGTCTGGAAGGCCTATGAGAATATGGGTATGAAGTAACCTATGTAACCAATGAAAATAACCAATAGAAAGAGACCATGAATGACCAATAGGAAAAGGTAATACTGCCTGAAAACTCACAGAGGCCTCCCTGCAGGCCTTTATGTCTCCTCTCTGACTTTTTTCCTTCACTAGAGGGAACCACTTCCAACTCTCTTCACAAGTGCTCTAAACTTTCTCTTTGTTCTTCCTAAATAAAATCTTTTCATTACTCTGTAACTTGTGTCAGTTACTTTTACTTTCTATCTACCCTCCTTGTGCCGATCCAGTTTTATTTTCAGTTTCCACTTACTTTTGCTTTCCCTTATGGTCCTGCCTTGGTTGAACTTTCTAGCTCATCCCAGCAATCAAACTGGGAACCCCTGACCCCCAACATCCCTCCTTCCCCTTGTTAGAGATGCCCTCTGTGACTCATTAATAGACCCAACTAAGGCTATACAAGATAAACTTGCAGGTCCTCAATATACACAACAAACCACTTGAGTCTGCATTTTGTCTCTGATTAACAGACCCTTATCTTAACTCGGCATTTGTTTTTCTGACCCTGGTCTATTAGATAGAGCCTAACTCTTTCAGCCAACTGTCGAAGAATCTCTAAACGCACCTATAACCTGTGGGCACCCTCTGCTTTGAGACCAGGTGGGAGCAGAAGGTTCAGGAGGCAGAGTCATAAGGTTGGGGAAGCAGAATGTTCAGGGGGGTCAAAGTCTGAGTCAGAGGTGGAAGGTTGAAGTGGCAACTGTTCATTGAGGAGAATTTGAAAGGTTGTATAGTTCTGGGAGAGAAAAGGATGACCCTCAAGAAAGAAGCTTGAAGATAGGAGACTCCAGACCACTTGCCATTGGGAGTTATGTTTTTTATTTATTATTATTTTCTGAGACAGAGTCTCACTTTGTCACCCTTGGTAGAGTTCCCTGGCGTCATAGCTTATAGCAACTTCAAACTCCTGGGCTTAATCAATTATCTTCTCTTATCCTCCCATGTAGCTGGGACTACAGGCACCTGCCACAACACCTAGCTATTTTTAGAGAGGAGGTCTTGCTCTGGCTCAAGCTGATCTCCAACTTGTGAGCTCAGGCAATCCACCCACCTTAGCCTCCCAAGTGCTGGTATTACAGTCATGAGCCACCATGCCTAGCTGAGAGCTATGAAATTTTTAAGATTTTTGAGTGTTTAAATTTTAAATGTCAATTTTAGGCTACTGGTTTCCATTGTCTAGTATGCACTGGGGCAAGGCAGTACTAGAGAGAGAGAGGCAGTTTGATATCTCCTTTCAAACACAGTTTGCCCTGGTTTTTAAGATTGCCTATTGGCAGGTTTTGGGAGGAAAATGAATAGCAATTGCCATGGCATGTGAGGTAAGGAGGTGAAGTGAGGTGGAGGCTCACCAGCAGGGAGGCAGGCATACCTACATCAAGTCTAGAGCTGAGGACAAAGTCCAGAGAATCCAACCCTGTCCCTTAAGATTCCCCAAATGTAGGTGTTGGGAGGGGGGAAGGAACACTGATCCCAGATCCTAGGGGAAATCCCAACTTAGATTTTTGGAGAGAGAGGTGGTGGTGGAATGGGAGATCCCAGAGGTGGAATCCCTTTCTCCAGCTTACTGAGTCCTGAGAAATTAGTGTGCAGTGATGAACGTCAGGAGGGCTGAGGCAAGGATCTGGGGTGGTCCCTCAACTGGTCTCACTGCCTCCTTTCCTGGCCCATGCACCATAAAGATGAAAGTTTCTGGCATAGAACCTGGGTAGGGTCCACAAGAAAAGAGAGGAACCCAGTCCAGGGACAAGGAAAGACTTTAACAGAGAGAAAAAGGAGAATGGAGAGTGACCACGTCCATAAAACCTGGTTATTTTTGGTTACACTTGTCATTGTTGTTTAGCTCGTCCAGGCCGGGCTCGAACTTCCCAGCCTTGGTGTATGTGGCCTAGCACCCTACTCACTGAGCTATGAGCACCAAGCCAGCTCTTTTTTTTTTTTTTAATTGGATGTTTCTCTCTGGAGCTCTTCTACCCCAAAAAGTCTTTTTTTTTTTTTTCTAGAGACAGTCTTAGTTTGTTACCCTCAGTAGAGTGCTGTTGTGTCACAGCTCACAGTAACCTCCAGCTCCTGGACTTAGGTGATTCTCTTGCCTCAACCTCCTGAGTAGCTGGAACTACAGGTGCCTGCTATGTCCAGCTATTTATTTGTTGCAGTTTGGCTGTGGCCAGGTTGGAACCCTCCACCCTTGGTATATGAGGCCAGCGCCCTACTCACTGAGCCACAGGCACCACTTGCAAAGTCTCTATAAAGTAAAGACTCTAACAAGTGTTTTAGATATTTTTAAGAATTTGCCAATGAGAACTAATGGAGAAACCTATTTTCTTTGTGCAAAATTGTTGCTACCAGCTGTATGCATCTATCGTTCATCTTTTGCCTAAGGTAGAATTCATCAATTAAGTTAATTTTTATTTTTCTCTTATGTCCACTGGAATAAAAAGGCCTTAATTTCCCTTCTCTGTTATGGCAAATCCTTTATTGCATTATAATGTTGTGGTGAGACTTTTATTTACTGTATATACTATAAACACTGTGGTTTCTTCTAACTAGTTTCATCAGTCAAGTTCAGTATGGCTACAGACACATATACAAATCTTTACATACATGCAAAGGTAACTGAAGATGCACTCTTAAAAGCCATCAGAATAATATACTTCCTCATTCACATAAAATCAATTTGTCTACTTTTGGACCTCAACAAAATATCGATTAAATACATAGTATATGTTCATTTTGTGTTAGTATGTAAATGTATTCTACTGTCTACTGCATTATAAAAGGGAAGCCAATCTGTTAGGTTTCATATTTAATTTCTTTTTGTTAGCTTTCAGGTATCTACCTGGCTACCAGAAGAGAAGTAAGTACTGAAGCAGGTCCAGTCTTCTGTTCTTCTAATAGTAACTGGGCTGCATTCACTAATCTGGTAGCTTCAGGCTAATGTTGTTATCACCATAGAGTACGTATCAATATGTATCAAATTTTTTGTCATATATAGCAAATGAAATCAGGGAGCTATTCTCCCTCAGTGAATGAAATCAGTGAAGTACCCTCACTCAGAGTAAGAGTCAATTCTTATGTTTAGGAGTTCTAATACCAACATTAGATTAACAGGTTGAGAGAACTTTACTACACAGAACAGCGAGAAGCATTAAGAAACTGGCATAAATCATTTCATATGAGACATGCTGATGAAATTATAAACATGAAAATAATCTGAAGTGTCAAATAACTTTAAGTACTTTTTAAGGTCACAGATTTGGATAAGAACCAAAATAAATTTATTTACAAAATTTCTGACTGACCAGTAGTGAGAGCCAAAAAACAACATACCAAAAAATAATAAACTAAGACCCCAATAATAGTCTTTAAGCCAGTAAGGAAATCAAGAAAGCAACTCCTGGTTATCAGACTAGAAAGACATCCTTTTGGGTGTCCTCCAATTGTATATTTAACCAAAGCAGTTTGTGCAAAAAGCACCCATGGTACTTGTAGGCTCAGCTGAGTCATAGCTTCTAGAGTGCTACTTACTATCTACCTTACATAGCTGTTTCACCACTTTTGTTGTTATCTTTGTCAGCTTTCTCCTCTTCTCTGTTGACTCTTTCCTCTTTTCCTCCACTGTCAACTCCTTTCTCTCCTCCATTGTTGGCTTCATTCTCTCCTTCTTTGTCCTGAACACTGATGGAAACTGCTTTGTTATAGCCTTCCCGGTTCCGAGCAATTTCAATAGCAAAAAATTGTATCCTGGGGGCTGGAGAGTGAATGAAATTGATTATTGTCTTAGTCTTGGTTAATTCCCTAACTCTATTGGAAATCTATTACTAAAATTGAATCAATATGCAATTATTCAAGCGTAGTCATAAGCTTCAGAGATCTTGAATTATAACTTGGTATTAACAAGGCTGAAAATACTTTACTATCTTAGTTACTTAAAAAAACAACATGTTCTTTAAAGATATAACAAATAAGATGATGCCCAACATAACTATACATGCCACTGACTCATCAGTAAAATATGATCCCTAACTCTCCTTATACAGAAACAATTCCAGAGGAAAATTACTAACCAAAGATGGTGTTTTCCTCAGTGTAGCCCTGAGAACAGTCTAGTCGCAGCAAAGTACCATAGTTGAAATCTTCTACGATCCCATCAAACTTCAAGCAGAATGGCCTCCATTTCTGTAAAGTCAAAAAACAAACAACAACAAAAAAAATGCTGTAGCTCAAAAAATGCAACAGGCTGATGTACTTACACCAGCCTGTAGAAGTAGAAGGGCTCCTACTTCAGCAATAAGGAAAATAACAGTAGTGAGAGAGACTAGGACTCAGGTGATCACTAGTTTCACTGTGAAACTAATAGTAAATTTCTGTGTTACCAATTTGTGTCTGTAGACTGCTATTTCCCAACAAAAGCATATTTTAACCTTAAAAATATAAAACTCCTTTACTAAAAAATTAAAATGTTATTTCTTAAATATTACCAATTCTGTTTTGTTTTAAAGTTATTGGTCAGATCATCCTAAAATGTCCATTATAATCTCTACTGCTAAGGCACAAGTGAGATAAAGAAGACAATAATTTAGCCCAAACTCACAAAGTTAGATTTTAAGGAAGAAGCCTATTCAGTAACATCAATTTTCCCAAGATCAGTAATAGCCTGCTAAAAGTTAGAAGTTTAGATCCTTTGTAGGCCAAGGACTTACTCCCAAGGAAAAATTTTTTCCTAAATGTGTTAAGTACCCTGTCAAAGTACAAGATAATCACATAAGCAACAAACCCACCCCCACAATTTTTCCAATTATCCATGGCCTGTGATCATATAAACTATGTCATGTCCCCACCAAAATCTTCTGGATAACCTACCTATTTAAGTATACATTCATTTCCTAACTTAATTAGTTCATTATAACTATAAAGAAAAAAGCTCTGGTTCTTTATTTCATATTTCCTTAAAACAAACAAAAAATGTTAAAAAATTATTGGTCAGAAAGCTGGGCATGGTGGCTTAGGCTATTGCTAGTGTAATGCTAGCACTTGGGAGGCTGAGGTGGGTAGATTGCTTGAGTTCATGGGTTCTAGACCAGCATGAGCCAGAGGAAGACTTTGTCTCTAACAAACAGCCATGTGTTGTGGCAGGCGCCTGTAGTCCCAGCTACTTGGGAGGGTGAGGCAAAATAATCGCTTAAGCCCAAGAGTTGGAGGTTGCTGTGACCTGTGACACCATGGCAATCTACAAAGGGTGACAAAGTGAGACTCTTTCAAAAAAAATTATTGGTCAGATGCTAAGTAATATTTAGTAAAGAAAATGCTTACCTCTTTAGCTGATTCTGATTTGAGTTCTTCTGGGTCTAAGATATCTATCCTGAGTTTCTCAAAATTTTCCCGGAATTCAGAATAGATCTGGTCATCCACTTTGGTGAGTTTCAGGAATTGTGGGTCAACTGATGAAATCAGCTGCCAGATAGTAAGACAACATACAGATGCTAGTCTCTTATTTACTGTACTTCTACCCTCCTGACCCTTGCCGGAAAACTCTTATGGATTCTCAGGGCAGAAGATTTTGTTAAAAAGTATGACAGCTTAGGTCCTAGATGAAATCACTTTACAGTTTAAAGGTGCTATGATATATTATAATCCCTGCAACCAATTTGGCAACTGGCCATTTGGCCCTAGTGATACATGGCTATCATGCTCTGTAGCTTGTTCATTCATTAAACAAATATTTATTAAGTGCCTACTATGTATGGACTAGGCACCCTTTTGCCAGCTAGCAATAGAACACCAGGCACAGAAGCAGAACTGCACATTGCCAAAATAAGCTTGTTTCCATCCCTCTGTTGTCTGTAAGACTGTTTAGTAATACAAACATAACTGTTTAACTTGCTAAGAGAGTGATTAGCAGAGCACCATACACTACAATTCCATGTCTAATTCTGCTTAATGATGATAACAGATAATTCACCTTGTAATAGACTTCAGCATGTTGCATTGCTCTCATGGCCCAAGCCATCTCAATATCCGGCTGCAAAGGATTGAAAAATGTCAGGTCAGAAAACTCTCAATCTTGTTACTGTATAACATGTTAAGCAAGTATATCAATATCTAGTTAACGCTCAAGAAGGTTACCAGACTGTCAAAGGATAAAAACTATGACTATGAATTTGAACAACATAATAATTCTTTTGACTTTGTGACTATCAAAAAAAGCTACCTATACAGTATAATAAATAAAATGAGCCACTGGCTATCTTTTACCATCAGCTAGTAAAAGTGGGGGAGACTAAATATATCACCTTTTCAAGACTTAGTTAAATCATTATAAAGCTGGAATAATATACCCATATACACCACCAAGTTGTTGGGAGAACAAAGATAACAGAAGAAAAAGCTATCTTTCTTTCTTTCTTTCTTTTTTGTAGAGACGGAGTCTCACTGTATCGCCTCCAGTAGAGTGCCAGCGTCACACAGCTCACAGCAACCTCCAACTGGGCTTAGGTGATTCTCTTGCCTCAGCCTCTCGGGTAGCTGGGACCACAGGCACCCGCCACAATGCCCGGCTAGCTATTTTTCACTTTTAAGATTATAGCACGTCATAATCACCATTTGTGTTTACCAGATGGCCATTCCCCATCCAGCAACACCAAGAAATGAAATTGACACACTATAAGCCTGTATAGCTTTGCTGCACAAAGCAATCATTTGGGAACCTTTAAAAATACTGATACATTTCTTCAAATACTTTCAAAAATTCTTGTCTCTCATCCTTCATTCTGATTTAGTTGGTATTAACTGCAATCTAGACATCGGGATATTTAAAAGCTTCCCAGGTGATTTCTAACGTGTAGCAAAGTTAAGGAACCACTTCCACTGGCATAAATCCTACATTTGTGGATCAAGATTCAAATGAATTGAATGAAAGTGGGTTTCTGATGAAATCCCGGTGAGTGGTGTGCAGAAGATACTAAAACAGGAGATTAGAATTTATTAGCAAACCCTGCACAGATCCCAGGCTAGCTGAGCAGGTAGAGTTGTAGGTGGGTGAGTCATACTCACATCGTTGCCATACGATTCTGCTGAGAGAGAAAGAGCATGTGCCACAGACATCAGCTCCCCAGAAACCTGGGAAGGTGAAAAAGAAAAGGGAGAAAAAGAATTCAAGGTTCCACCTGGCTGGACTCCCCCACTCAACCAACCCCAGAGCAACGTCTCACCGGCTCATCAGTTCCACTGGTAGCCTCCATTGTTGCAGTCCGGAAAGCGTGGCTGCACTTTCCCGGAAGTGTTTTGGTTTTCTTTTTTTTTTTTTTT